GACTGTGAAAACAGGTTGGAGTCAGCTGGGAACAGCTTTGCTTACAAGGCTGAGCAGAGGCAACGGGGAGCTGCAGAGGGTTTTAAGCAGGAGAGACACGTGGTCAGATCCAGGTTTGAGGAGGGTCACCACCCGGGCCAATGGACGATGGACCGAGGTCGGAGAGGAAGAAGCCATTGCAGGATGAGGAGGCGTGGGCGGGGCAGCGACGTGGGGACAGAGGAGGGGAGAGGGCTAAGGTGGGGCTTGTGTCTGGTACAGACCATTCTCCGCTGGTTCTTCTGCATCATTCTGACCCTGCGGATCCCAGACCCCCACCCCGCCCCCAGCCTCTCCTGCCTCCGTTCCCTGTGTCAGATTCCAGAGTGGGGGCTGAATTGGACCCCGAGGCATTTTGCTTGGCCTTGTGGACTTTTTTAAATGTTTTTCTTTTTAAATTTTATTGTGGGGGCGCCTGGGTGGCTCAGTCGGTTAGGTGTCCAACTCTTGGTTTCTGCTCAGGTCATGATCTCAGGGTCTCCCTCTGCCCCGCCCCCCTGCTCGCTCTCTCTCTCAAATAAATCTTGAAAAAAATTTATTGTGGACACACACACACACAATGTAAAACTTGCCATTTAACCATTTTAAGTGTCTAATTCCATGGCATTAATTACATTCACAATGTTTGCAACCATCACCACTGTTTCCAGATCCCTTTTATCACCCCACAGCAGAAACCATATCCGTTAAGCAGCTGCTCCCATTTCCCCCTCCCCACAGCCCCTGGTAACCTCTAATCTACTTCCTCTTTCTATGACTCTGCCAATTCTAGATATTTCATGTAAGTAGAATCTAAAATAATTGTCCCATGAAACTAAAATAACACTGTTAACTGTTGGAATTTAAAATTTTTTGAAAAAGAAAAACACCCTTATTTTTTTTTAAGATTTTATTTATTTATTTGAGAGAGAGAGAATGAGAGAGAGAGAGCATGAGAGGGAAGAGGGTCAGAGGGAGAAGCAGACTCCCCGCCGAGCAGGGACCCCGATGAGGGACTCGACCCCGGGACTCCAGGATCATGACCTGAGCCGAAGGCAGTCGCTTAACCAACTGAGCCACCCAGGCGCCCAGAAAAACACCCTTATATTTTAATGGGAAAAAAAAAAAGGAGTAACATCTTCATTTCATTAGTAAAAATAAACTAATTGTCCTTTTGCGTCTGGCTTCCTTCACTCGGCATGTTTCCAAGCTTCATCCATGTTGTAGCATGTGTCAGCCCTTCATTCCCTTTTATGCCCAAATACCGACATTGAAGGCACAGGGTGGGGAGCTGAAGCGCCAGCACCTTCTTGCCTCCAAGGTCCCCCTCAGTACTGGGGTGGCTCATCCCCTTCTGCCCTAGAAGAGGAAGACAAGAAAAAAGGACACCCTCCTTAGAGCTTCACCCAGCCGGAAGGCCACACATCACCTTGCTCCCCATCCTCCCTGTATCAGGCACCAGCCCAAAGGCTGCTATGTTGGGCTGGAGAAAGGGGGTCTGAAGTGGAAGAGATGGGGGGAGCAGGCCATGGCTGATCCTCTGCCCTGAGCCCTTCTACCTGGGGGCAGGGGGCAGGACTATCCTTCAGGCCCATCTCTGGGTCAGCTCTGCCCAGGCTGGCGCAAGGCAGAGGCTCAGCCACACTTACAGGAGTGAGATCACAAAGACAAAGTGGCCGAGGAGGGAGAGATTTGAGGCTCACCCCCTCCCAGCACCATACCCACTTCCAGAGCCTTAATTTGCCTCCTGCTTGAGTTGTGTTCGGATATATACTCCCACCAGGCAGAACGGCCACTGGCCTTACCCACAGCCTATGAAGCAAGAAGAAACCAGAGGTGATGTTGTGCATCTGGAAGCACCTTACAGAGTGGGGCAGGTTGGGTGAATGGGGGGGTCTGCAAAGGGTATGGATGATAATCCAGTTCTCCCTAGGCTTCATCTCCCCACAGCTAGTGACCTGTTTCCTCAAAGAGTCTGCAGATAGGCAGCACCAAATGACCATGCCACCTCCAGACTCCAGGTCAAGAGCCTCCCCTTTCCAGAAGTTTAGAGCCAGAACAAGTTATGTCATCCTGGTACCCCAATGTCCAGCACAGGACCTGGCACTGAGTAGGTGCTCAATAAGTATCTCTGGAATGAAGAAATGAATGTATAAATGAAGAAACCAAGTCTACAGCTGCTGGGGGGCTTTAGGTGACACTCTGAGGATGCTCTCTCTCTCCATTCTTTAGGCCAGGAAGACTCAGATAAATTTTTGGAACAAAGGAACAGAGTTCTAAGTGATTTTTGTGCACCTCCATTTTATCCTAATAGCCCTTGGAGGTCAGATGTTGTATTATCTCTATTTTGTTGAAATGGAGGTTGGGAGAGGGGCGCCTGGGTGGCTCAGTCGTTAAGCGTCTGCCTTCGGCTCAGGTCGTGATCCCAGGGTCCTGGGATCGAGCCCCGCATCGGGCTCTCTGCTCCGCGGGAAGCCTGCTTCACCCTCTCCCACTCTCCCTGTGTTCCCTCTCTCGCTGTGTCTCTGTCAAATAAATAAGTAAAATCTTTAAAAAAAAAAAAAAAGAAAGAAAGAAATGGAGGTTGGGAGAGGCTGAGCAACACCAGCTGTGTATGGCAAGGCCAAAATCAGACCTAGATCCACTGACTCCTAATCCTGTGTTCTCATTATGCCACATGTTCTTGAATTAGAAATCACAAGGAAGGCACCTGGGTGGCTCAGTTGGTTAAGTGTCTGCCTTCAGCTCGGGTCATGATCCCAGGGTCCTGGGATCGAGCCCCGCATCTGGCTCCCTGCTCAGTGGGGAATCTACTTCTCCCTCTCCCTCTGCGCCTTCCCCTGCTTGTGCTCTCTCTCTCAATAAATAAAATCAAGAAAGAAAGGAGATAAAGAAAGAGAGAGAGAAAGAAACCACAAGGAGGGATGAGACAGGCAGGCAATGCCAAGAACACAAGCCTGCTGGGGGAATCCAGGCACTTGGGTCTTCTCTGTCCTTCATTTTTTCCCCATCTGGGAAAGCCCTGTAAAGCATCCAATAGTGTTTGCATGGGCATGAGACAGAGGGCTCTACTTCTGGCCACTACTGAGGACCTGAGGCAGATGCCAGCCCTGGGGGATTTCCCCACAGGTCCCGTTTCCACCAGGCAAACCATAGGTTAAGGCTGGTAGAGATGCCAGCCACTCAAGATAAAACATTGTGCATGCTCTGGGGGCTTTGGGGTGCTTCTGGCAGTAGCAGGAGCTCCACAAACTAGCACTCGCCAACAGTCTCCACCAGGGTAGGGTGACTAGGCAGCCCCTGGGTGTGTGTCTGAAGCGAAGAAACAACCACCTTCCTCTCAGTCACTGGCTTCCAAGGATGGGCAGAAACTCAACAGGTGAAAGAACATTCCAGATAGGGAGCAGGGCAGAAGCAAAGGCCAGGAGTCTAGACTAGTGGGTTATAAGGCTGGAGAAGGGCTGGCCTCTGATGTGTCTGCTTCTGTCTGTGAGGCTCAAGTGAGTTGTTTGAAGAATTATGAAAAAACGTTTGGATCACAAGCCCAACTCAACATGGTATAACTGTTTTATTTATTAACAATAATTTGTTTCACTTATTCTGTGCCAGACACTGTTCTAAATGCTTTATAAATATATTGACTTACTCAATTCTCATATGAGTAGGTTCTATTATTCCTATTCCTGGAGGTAAAGATTATGTGACTTACCCATGGTAATAGATATTGTAAACCGTGGAGCTGCGATCTGAATTCAGTCTGGTTCCAAAGTCTGAAACATTATACCGGGCCAAGATCAAAAGTTTTCAATTATTTAAGTCTATCTTTCTCATACAGGCTTTTCCTGGTTTTGGCTTTATGCAGACACACCCAACACCATGCTAAGTGAGAGTCCTACACATTTCCTGCAATCCTGCAAGACAGTAATTATGGGTGCCTGGGTGGCTCAGTTGGTTAAGCCACTGCCTTTGGCTCAGGTCATGATCCTGGAGTCCCGGGATCGAGTCCCGCATCGGGCCCCCTGCTCAACAGGGAGCCTGTTTCTCCTGCTGACCCTCCTCCCTCTCATGCTCTCTGTCTCTCATTCTCTCTCACAAATAAGTAAATAAATCTTAAAAAAAAAAGACAGTAATTATTATTACCCAGCTTCACAGAAGAGTCAAGCCCCAAGGGTAAATTCTGAGTTGGGATTCTGACCTAGATTTTTTTCCTAGATCTAGATCTAGGACATAACTATTCTGCCTTAAGGGTCCTCTGAGTATTTCTTTCCAGCACAACACCCCAGGGCTGGACGAGGCCCGTAACCACAAAGCAGGGTGGGCTGGAGGTCTGAGGCTTTGGGACCCACAGTTCCTGGGCAGTCCCATTCAGTCTACCCCCTACCCCCGGTCTAAGTGAAAAGAGGGAGCCCAACTGAACATGCAGCTCCTTATAATTGAGGCCACTAGGGTCCTCCCAGCCTCCTCCTCCCTGGTTGGGACCTCTACATCCTGGACAAACCTGAAGCCCCAGGGTCCTACGGTCCCTCTCTCGCACCGTTTTAAAAAGATTTTAGAGTCGCAGGCTCCTCTCACTGAGCCAACCAGGGGCCCTAGTCTTGCGCACTCTTTACCACCTCCTCTGTACCCTAACCCTGTCTGTGCTAAAACAGATGTCCACCTCGAATGAAAAAACCGAAGTTCTAGCGGGGGCCTCGTTGCTCCGAGGTCCCAACAAATAGCTAGCTGGGCTTCCGTCTGAGGGTCAGGCTAAGCGGCTCCCATTTTCTGCCGCAACCCACAGGGTGCAGGGAGCCCGCTTTCCAGCTCCACGAAAAGGGTCTCAGAACACACACCGCCATCTTGCCTACCGCCCCCGACAACATGGGCTGACCCCCCGGAGGGTGCCCGCGCCTGCGCGGGCCGTGGAGGGGCGTGGCGAAGAGCGCGGGGGCGAGGCCTCGGCGGAAGGCGGGAGGAGGCGCGGGGCACAACGCAATGCGCCCCTAGTGGCGGGCGTGCTTGCGCCTCAGCTCTGTAGCTTCTGGGTTCCGTTTCCACGGTTACGGCGGCGTGAGGCTGTGTGTCCCAGGTAAGGTCCGGGTAGAGCGGAAACATGATAACTGAGGGACGGAGGGCAGCAGGGCTCAGGGGAATGGGAAAGCAGGGCCTGGGCCCAGGCTCGTGGGAGGTCTAACCCATCCCCCCCCCCCCCGCCGCGTGTCCCCACAGTGGGCTCTGGTTAGCTCTGCCCCACCATTCCCCTAGGATGCTGTCCCGCCCACGAGTGTTCTCCGGCCCCACGAACTGTCCCGGACACCCCCCCACCCCTCACCCCTCTCCCTGCCTCTCCCAGCTGCTGACTTCACTCTTCTCTGCCCTTAAGTCACTGACGTGAAGCTGTTTGTGCGTGCCTGGGAGCTGCACACTCTTTAAGTGACCGGCCTGGAGACAGTTGCTCAGATCAAGGTAAAAGTAATAGTGTATCCCTGAGCTTCCCCAACCCATGTGTCTTTTGCCTGGCTTTCTGTGACTTCCTTAGAGAATTGACTCTCCCTTTCTTCCCTAGGCCCATGTCGCCTCCTTGGAGGGCCACACCACCGAAGATAAAGTAGTGCTTCTGGCAGGTTCTCCCCTGCAGGATGAAGCCACCCTGGGTCAGTGTGGGGTAGACGCCCTGGCGACCCTGGAAGTGGTTGGCCGTATGCTAGGAGGTGAGTGGGGCTACAGAGGCCAAACTGGTGCCAGGGGCTATTTATGATCCTTAGACTTACTTTGCCTTTCACAGTGTCTAACGTTTTTTGCTTTAATTTACAATATCTAAAAGTCAGTTGATTTTGTGTGAAAATACAATATCTGGCCTTGCTTCAAAACTTGGGAAGATCTGGTGACAGGGGGCCTGTGTTCCCACATACCAACAGTCGGCCCCAGCTGAGTAGTGGCTGCTCCCTTTAGAAGGCTTTATAGTTTGCTACAGTTTCCACTCCTCCCTCCTCAAAAGCAGTGTCAGTTACCATTTATCATCAGGCTTGTGCTGTTGTTTCTCTTGTAAAGAAAAGTGAACTCTCTTTTTGTACCTATGTCTCTATCAAAAATGGGAAAACGAAAGATGGATTCAGAGCGTTGCATGTTTCAAGATTAGTGGGAATGAGCATATTTCTTTGTGAAAGTTAAGAATAGCCCTAAGTGTTTTGTATGTAACCACACTTTGTCTGTATCAAAAGAATACAGCTTAAGACGCCATTATGAAACAAACCAGAGTGAGAATTTTGACTGGTGTACAGAAAATATGCGTAATGAAAAACTTAATGAACTAAAAAAAGGACTAAACTTTCTTCCGCATTTATCATCAAATGCAAATAAAATAACCGATGCTGCTGTGAAATGCAGTTATGTCATAAGTGGAAAAATTGCCCAGGCATCAAAACCTTTCACAGATGGCGAGTTTATAAAAGACTCTCTATTGAGTGTGCAGAAATCATGTGTCCAGAGCAGAAACAAGCATTTGCAAACATAAGTCTAACTGGAAACACTGTTGCTCAGCAAGTAAAAGATATGGCTGAGAATCTAAAGTACAAGTTGGGAGAAAAAGTGAATTCATCTGTGACATTTTCTATTGCAGTGGATGAGAGCACATATATAAATAATTCAAGCCAGTTAATTATATTTATCTGGGGTGTTGATGAGAATTTTGACATCACTGGAGAACTTTTGGACATGGTTCCCATGATAGACCAGCATCTGAAAATGACTTATTTGGGTATGTTGAGAAAAGTCTTGAAAAGTTTAATGTTGGGGCACCTGGGTGGCTCAGTCGTTAGGCATCTGCCTTCGGCTCAGGTCATGATCCCAGGGTCCTTGGATCGAGCCCTACATCGGGCTCCCTGCTCGGCAGGAAGCCTGCTTCTCCCTCTCCCACTCCCCCTGCTTGTGTTCCCTCTCTCGCTGTCTCTCTCTCTGTCAAATAAAAAAAAAAAAAAAGAAAAAGAAAAGTTTAATGTTGACTGGTCCAAACTAGTGTGACCACAGGTGGTGCTCCTGCAATGGTCTGTGATAACACTGGGCTTGTTGCAGAACTTAGATCCAAAGTCAAAATGCTTTTCAAGGATGCAGAACTTAAATCTACTTCACTGCATTATTCACCAGGAATTGTTTTGTACTAAAAAGTTAAAACTAGGGGTGCCTGGGTGGCTCAGTTGGTTAAAGCGCTGCCTTCAGCTCAGGTCATGATTCCAGAGTCCTGGGATCGAGCCCCGCATCGGGCTCCCTGCTCATGCAGGAAGCCTGCTTCTCCCTCTGCCCGCCGCTCCCCCTGCTTGTGCTCTCTCTCTATCTCTCTCTCTCTCTGTGTCAAATAAATTAAATAAAATCTTTAAAAAAAATAAAAAAATAAAAATAAATAAAAAGTTAAAACTAGGGGCGCCTGGGTGGCTCAGTCGTTAAGCATCTGCCTTCGGCTCAGGTCATGATCCCAGGGTCCTGGGATCAAGCCCCGCATCGGGCTCCCTGCTCTGCGGGAAGCCTGCTTCTCCCTCTCCCACTCCCCCTGCTTGTGTTCCCTCTCTCACTGTGTCTCTCTCTGTCAAATAAATAAAATCTTTAAAAAAAAATAAAAAGTTAATACTAGAACATGTCATGGATGTAGTGATTAATACAGTGAACAGTGAATTGTGTGTCTAACAGGCCGTTCAGGGCTTTTCTGGAGGAACTGGATGCACAATATAGTAATCTTTACCATACAAAGGTAAGGTGGCTTAGTCGTGGCATGGTACTGAAGAGACTTTTTGAATTAATAAAAGAAATAGATTTGTTCATGTCTTCCAAGGGCAAACCCCTTCCCCAACTCACCAGTGAAGTTTGGATCAGACACCTGGCCTTTTTGGTTGACATTACAAACCATCTAAACACTTTGAATATTTCTCTGCAAAGACATTCACAAGTGGTGACACAAATGTATGATTGTTTACTCTTTCTTAGCAAAATTGAGTCTTTGGGAAACTTTTTCGTCTGTAAATAATCTGGCTCACTTTTTTTTTAAAGATTTTATTTATTTATTTGACAGAGAGAGAGAGAGTGCACAAGCAGAGGGAGGGGCAGTGGGAGAGGGAGAAGCAGGCTTCCCACGGAGCAGGGAGCCCGATGCCGGGGCTCCATCCCAGGACCCTGGGATCATGACCTGAGCCGAAGGCAGACGCTTAACAACTGGGCCACCCAGGCACCCCTCTGGCTCACTTTCCTACAGTGAAATCAGTGTCAAGAAATGAAAGCGATGGCTTAATCTACATCCCCAAAATTGTGGAGTTGAAGATTGAATTTCAGAAAAGATTCTTTGATTTCAAACATTATGAAAACGAGCTCATATTGTTTAGCTCACCTTTCTCAGTTAACATTGACAGTGTTAATGAAGAATTACAAATGGAAGTTATTGAACTGCAGTGTAATTATGGTATTAAAAGCTAAATATGATGCCATTGGAATACCAGAATTCTACAATACCTCAGCAAGAGTTACCCCAGATATAGAAACCATTGTGCAAAGATTTTGTCCATGTTTGGAAGCACCTGTGTCTGTGAACAGCTGTTTTCTGTTATGAAATTGAGTAAAACTAAATTTCCACTCCCAATTAAAGGATACAAGATTACATTCAGTTCTACACATTGCAACTCGAAACATTGACATGTTGGTGCAGAAAAAAAGGTGTCAGGTTTCTGGTTCCAAGTCAAAGGAATAACAGATTATGAACAAAAATTTTAATAATTAAAGATTTCTGTTTTTCAATGTGTATTTTTTTTTTAAGATTTTATTTATTTATTTGAGAGAGAGAAGGAGAGAGAGATAGCACGAGAGGGAAGAGGGCCAGAGGGAGAAGCAGACTCCCCGCTGAGCAGGGAGCCCGATGTGGGACTCGATCCTGGGACTCCAGGATCATGACCTGAGCCGAAGGCAGTCGCTTAACCAACTGAGCCACCCAGGCTCCCTTCAATGTGTATTTTTAAATTTTTCTTTCAAATATGCAGTATCATAAATTTTATATGTTACATGATGCACTGTGGTTCAATTAAAAAAAAGTTTCAGGGTTTTTTTTCTCCCTTGGCATTTGATTTTTCATATACCTAGCCTATTGTACTTGCTTCTGTAAGTAAACTTGGCTACCCAACTTTAGTTTGAGACTTCTGCCTAATGGAGCTGGTTACCATAATTAGTTTTTGTTTTCCTGCGTGCCTCAAGCCAGGAAAGAACTGTCACTTGCTGTCTTGAGCAAAATGCCTGAGCTGTAGAATTTCTGTGGATAATATCTGAGCCAGGTTGTGCTAGTTATCAATTTATTGCTTCTCAGCTCCAAATTCATTCTTCCTTGTCTGCTCTCTAAAACTGGATCTGGGCCCTTTAAATATCTTGCCTTTGACAGTAGGCAGGGTGTGAGGCTTTGTCAGTGGAGGGCACTGGAGACACATTGCAGAAGGAAGGAGTTTTCCTTCCTTGTTTGGTCATGTGGCCTACTCCCGCAGTGCCCAGCAGTCAGCAACACCCAGAGCCAGCAGCTCTCCCTGGCTTACCCCGACAGGCAGTTTTATGATGAAATCTTTCTGCTGAGACACTTCCCCATGAACAGTTTTCCCCAGTACCTGAAAGGGGAGATTTCCAGCAAATTCTGCCAGTGTGGCACTGCAATAATTTCTCTGTATTTATTCTGTATCTCTCCTGTAAATCTGAACCATGCCCTATCCAACATGGTCTGGATTTCAGAGACCTCTTCCTTGGGCATCTACCTCAGCTCCTAAGCTAGTGGCTACTTCTTATACATGGTACTTCTTTAGAATTCTTACTAGACGGTTAATAATTTTTATATTAAATCACTGTTTAAATTCTTGTGTGGTTTCTTCTGATTGGACCCTGACTGATACAGGCCCTATTTCTTATTTCCCCAGGCCCTATTTCTTTCTTCCCCCAAAATAAGCATATTTGGATTCTGGGCAACAAAGAGGACAAATATCCAGATACACAGGCCTTTGCCTTTCCCTGGGTTAGCAAGTCACTTAATGGAAAAGAGAGGTATCTGGGACCCATAGCACTTACTTAGTCATATAGACTGATATTATGTGTATAATAATGGGTTGTAACTCATCGCTGTTGTACTTCAACTATAACCTAACTTGATAACAGAAAAAAATGATTGGGCTAATTCGACAAATATTTGTCAACAACACATCAGGTGCGAGATCCTACTCTGAGTGCAGGCCGGTTATTTGTTCATTCCATGACCTTGAGCTGGTCACCTTGTCCCTCTGAGCTTCACCTTCTTCACCCATGAAATGAAGCTATTAACACATGTATTAGTTATCTGTTATGGCATTAAAGTCACCTCAAAGTGTAGTGGCTTAAAATAACAAATATTTATTATCTCACTGGTTTCTGTAGGTCAGGAATCTGAGAGAGACTTACTGGGAGGTTTCAGCTCAGTGTCTCTTAAGAGGTTGCCATCAAATTGTCAGGTGTACCTGCAGTCATCTGAAGGCTTTTGTGGGGCTAGCGGATCCCCATCTCTCATGACTTTTCCAGGAACGTCAGCTGCCGTGTTGTGAGAAGGCCCGTGGAGAGGCCCATGTGGTTGCAGCCCATGTCTGCTGAGGCTGAAGTCAACCTGAAGGCTCACCTGGGCTGCATGTTCATGATGGCCCATTCACAGGGCAGCCAGTTAATAACAGAATCTGACACTGTCCATGTTTCCCTCCCCTGACATTTCCTTTGCTTTTCTCTCATCACACTGGCGTCTCTCTTAGCCTCCTTTACGGTTCTTGTTCACCTCCCAAATTCTAAACATTGAAGCTCCTCGGGGTTCTGCGCTTCTCCGTTTATATTTCTTCCGTTGGTGCACATTCCCTTGGTCTTCTGGCTTTAAATTAGTATTAATATGCTGCTAACTCCCAAATTTTTACCTCCAGCCAGATCCCTCTTTCCTAACTCCAAAATGGAGGTGCTGGTCTTTCCTCAAAATCTACTCCTACTGCAGTTGGTGGCAACTCTGTCATTCTGCTGCTCGGGCTGGAAACCTTGGAGCTTTCCTTGTTTTTTCTTCCCCATAGCCAATAGCCATTGAAAATTGCCCACTGGGTTTAGAGACTGGAATCCCTGGTGACACTGGGGAGAGACCTTTGATGACATGATTGGGGACACATCAAATATGACAATCCCCAAAACCATCAGACCATTTATTCAAGAGGCACTGAGTGTGCCACAGCTGTTGGTGAGATTGTGTTGCTGGGATTGGGCAGGTGGGCAGGGTACTACCTAACCAGCAGCTAGCCTCCCAAACCCCACAAGGAGCCCTGAAGGCCTCTGAGCGGTTAAAATCAATAGCATAAGATGGACGAATATAGCTCCTGGAATCCCCACCTCAGAGCTTAACTGATTTCTGTTTTATATACATTGGTATCAAGGGGAGTCTGATTTCTAGGATCAGAGCCACTAAAACAAGAAGTTACCATGGTGTAGGAGGACTGCTGCAGGTGGGCAGTTGGCTGCCTGACCCAAAAGAGGGAAACAGGAAAATTATTTAAAAACAGAGTTTAAGGGGCACGTAGGTGACTCAGTCGATTAAGCGTCCAACTCTTGATTCCGGCTCAGGTCATGATATCAGGGTCATGAGATCAAGCCCCGTGTCCGGCACCCCGCTGGGTATGGAGCCTGCTTAAGATTCTCTCTCTCTCCCTCCCTCTGCTATGCACCCCTGCTCACATGCATGCATGCTCGCTCTCAAAACAAAAACAAAACCAGAGTTCACAAGGCACAGCTGCAGTCAGTCACCCTTTAGTATAGGACAGGCCACCTGGTACATTTCAGCAGCTGGTAATGAGGTCAAA